ATATATGTCGATGATAAGGCTATGGACGGTAATGACGAAATGAGGAAGCTCACGGAGGAGACAGCTAAACGCTTTGAGTCAAAGCCGTGCGAATGGGATCATTTCAATTTCTCCGGGATGCACTTAAAGTCTCTAGATGATAACGTTTTCTCAGTCAGTCAGACCGATTACATATCAAAGCTTAAGCCCATCCCAATGGATTGCAGCTTTGACTATTTTAGTTCTTACCGTGCGATGGTGTCATGGATCGGAGTAACACGCCCTGATATGGCTTTCATTATCAACCGCGCAGCGCAGGTTACAGAACCTAAATTTTCAGTTCAGAAGATACGTGAGCTCAATAAGGGTATCGCAGCCGTGAAGGATTCTGCTGACAGACGTATGGTATATTGTCCACTGAGGAAGGAAACTCTTCATCTTCGAACGTACGCAGACTCTTCGTTTGCGAACAATGAAGACCTGTTTGCGCAGATGGGTTTCATAATCTCGCTATGCGATCGCAGGAATGCGTGCCATATTCTGGATTCCTCCAGTAAGAGGTGTAAGAGAGTTGTTCGGTTTGTACTCGGAGGAGAGGTCTACGCATTGGCAGAAGGTTTCGAGAGGGCTTACATGCTGAAGTGTGACTTACAGACTGTATTCAAAATGGAGGTTCCTCTTCACATGTTTACTGAATCGAAGGCCATGTTTGACGTATTGACAAAATCATCTTCAACATCCGAGAGAAGGTTAATTGATCTAAGAACTTTACAGGAAGCCTACAAACGCGAAGAAATATCTCATGTTGGGCTCGTAGGATCACAGCACAATCCAGCTGATGGACTCACTAAGGGTAAGCCCAATCAGGCTCTTGAGAACATATTGCTTAATGGAGTCGACAATACTCCTATTAAGCAATGGATATTCCGTACAAAGGCAAGCTCTGGATAAAGATGATGGAATGTTATAAGTCGGGGCGATCAGGATCTGGCCTCATGTCCCTTCTACATTACGTGGCGTAATTTGCCACACCACGTGATGCTCGCTTGCAATTGTTGTTGTTTTTTATTGAATTTTCTGTAGTTGTTTCCCGTACTTTATACATAAAGACTTTCCCGTCGCCGGCGCTTCCCGGCGGTGCGCGTGTGTCGTATCATCTTGTTTTGTGTTTCGTAACAATTCGCCTCCGCTCTCCTTTTCTCGGTCGTCGAGTTTCGAGCATCCCGTCTACACTTCCGGACGTCGGAAGCGCACCTCGATACAGAAGACTAACGTGTAATTGACATCCAGGTTACAATACTACAGGACGCAAATTATGTGCGCAAGCATTTCTGTGGCAAAACTCATTGGGATGCTCCTGAAATCACAAACACCCAATTTGATACGATCCTTTTTGCACAAATTGCTGTTTTGTGCGCATCACCTTCTGCTGATGTGAACCCCCTTGGAAGACGATTTGTGTCCACAGCCAAAAGCACAAACACATATTTCACCCGCCGATTTCCCGCCGTTGAGGTAGGTCGATCCCTAGCGAAGCTTCCTCGTGGCATGACAGAATCCCTCTACCCTTCATCCCCATCTCCGTCACACAATTCTCTCTACCTCGATCCCTTTCTCCCACCATGGCACAATCCCCCTCCGCTTCACCCCCATCTCCATCACCCAACCCCTCTACCCCTAACCCAAACCTTCGTGTTGAACCGCTTCCACCTTCTCGTTGCCCCTCTGTCTTCGATTCAAATCCTCCAGGCGACCCTACCGAAACCGCACAAACGCAGACCCCCCGAATATCTGCTCGCGTGACCCACGGCTACGGTGGCTCCCACCCTTATTCTGGATCACAGCCGGGACCCACTGTCGGGATCCAAAAACCTCCCAACCGAAAATCTTCCAGCAAACCAACGCCTGTTCGTGGCTCTGGATTCTCGGCTCCCGAAATCGAGCACTTGCTTGACACGCTCGAAAAGTACTTGCCCCTGTGCCGCGATGAGTGGGACGCTGTCCTCATCGCGCACAACAAATACTTTGCAGATCAAAAGCGCTCTGTGGACAGTCTCAAACGCAAATTTGCCTCGCTACATCGGCGAAAAATGCCAACCGGTGACCCGCTCATGCCTGCTGATGTTCGCAAAGCGAAAAGTATTCGATATAGAATGACGGAGCGTGCGGATATTGGAGTCGGTGACGAGGACGTGGACGAGCTGTCGGGAATCGTAGAGGATGATGAGGATGGTACGACACCTGTTGGGGCGGCAAGTTTGTCGCCGCGAACATCGGAAATTCCAAGTGACGGCGCTCAAGGGCCAGGGTCGGGTGCCGAGATTTTGCCGCCGAGCCCTACTGAGTTTGCTCCCTCTCCGCGCGTGCTCGTTAACAAAAGGAGGGGAGTCAAAGTTTAATCAACTGAGGCAAATGAACTTGTCGCGATAATGAAGCTTTCTATGGTACAAGAGCAGCAGCGTCGGGAGAGCGATGCCCGACAAAGGGAAATGGAGGAGCGTCGCCGGGCGGACGAGAGGGATGAGGAGAGGAAGAGAAGGGAGGAGGACCGTCGTGAAGAAATGCTTCGCCGGGAGCATGAAAACAAACGCCAGGATCGCTTTATGGAGGCGGTTCTGTTAATGATGACGCACACGGTATCTCAAAAAAATCTACCGCAACGCCCTGACGATGCGTGACTCTAGATTCCAACGTTCTCATGAAGAAAAAAGTTAGCATCAACGCTTAGGTGCGGCATGTAAACATTGAGAATTTGGTTGATTCCTACCACTGCAGCTCGATAGTTGTACAGTAGAACGATTGTCAACAAGATCAGTTTTCTTTCGCCAGTTTCTTCGTAAACCATCCTATCCAAAAGCCTCGGAAACGTCCCTTGAAACCTGCGCATTCCCCACTCTGATGCTTGTCGCAACGAGGTAGCCTGCCGAAGCCTCATAATTTCAGTAGCGTTTTGTCCTACTCCAAGATGATCTTGCGCAGACTTTATGACAAAGGGAGGAAACTCTCTGCAAAATGCAGAATCGACCACACACTTGCCCTCCGTTTCCTCGTACACTTTTCCTAGTCTTTCGTAAATACCACCCCACTCCGCTATTGTGGAATCATGAAACGCGCCCGGAGCATTTACAGCACACATTATTATCCGTCCATTTGGGGCAAAGACAAAAACATTCCCGACATAATGGTCATGTGTACAACCATTGTAAAACATATTTTGTATTACACAGTCACCTGCCTGTTGTAGATATAGTTTTAACCCATCCGCACAGCAATAAACATCCGGAAGCAATGAATGCTTCTCCCGAAAGCTTTGTTTAAACAAACTAATCTCCTCAGCTGACAGTATTTTGATGGAGGCACGATCATCATTTCGCAAAACTTTAAAAAGCAAACGGCGGGCGAAGCAAATGTACAGCGAAGCAACTGAATGCGTAACCCCAAAAAGGAGACACAAAGTCATCATTGATACCCGTGTGCGATGCCATGTGAGAAAGAGTCCCAGGCACTGAGTAGAAGAAAGTAAACGCGGTCTTCCTCTCGGGTCGCGCCTATTTGGGAGGATTCGAAGCCTTCCATCGCTCGAGTACGGTGTGTATCTCAAGTACATCGGGGCAAATGCGTTTAGCATTGTTATAAATGCTCGGTGATCGAACGCTGTGAGCGTGATTAAAGATTGATCGCATCTACTGCCGTACAAAAAAGCGAAAGGAGCCATCGTAGGACTGAGAAGCGCTCTTCGAGATATGCGTCTATCACGGTGACGTTTACCTTTCGCATTTAGACGGGCTCTGAAGGTACGAGGCTGTCCATCGAGAATGAGATGATACAGAATAATGATTTGCAGCATAAGCGAAGGCATACTGTGGCTAGGGTACGCGATGAGGACGAAAAGGGGAAACGTTGCGATTTGACGAGGGTGGTTCTGGGAATTAGCGGTCGTCCTACACTAAGAGCATCTCCACCGCATAGGCAAATTGTTTCTATATTTGGACACTTGTCAGACTCCCACATGGGCATTCGTTTTGCGCATTCCGTTTGCGAAAGTACCACAAATCGCCGTTGCGCAAATCGCGTCGCGGTCTCCACCGCGCACTGCGTCGCACCCGCCCCCGATCCGCGCCCAGACTTCCCGCGACCCGACTTCTGGGCCGCCCCCCACCCCGATCAGCAGGACACAAAGCCGAGGTCCAGGTCGTCGACGCTGACCTCTTCCACCCAGACTTGTCCTCGCCGCCCGAAGCGAACCCGGCCGCGTCGCAACCCACGCCTTTGCCAGATGGTCGAGTTCAGTTAGCCCCCATTCACGCCCACGGACTCCCATAATAAACGAGTGCTAACGCGTGCACAATGTCTGCGTGCGGGTGGATGCGGGCATGTGCAGTGCGAGCATAGACCGTCCACTGCGCATTTGGCATGCTCAGACGTTTTGGGCGGATCAGGTGTACCCGTGGCTTCCCGCGTTCTTGCTGTTTCGGCTTCTAAAAGTAACAAAAAATCAGCCCGTTCAAGCAGAAGAGTGTTGCCAAAAAATGGGATTTGTGACGTGACGCGCCACAAAATCAAAAAATATGTGTGCCGTCAAGGCACAGATCCTATTTATCATACGATTTGTGAAACAGATTTGTGTGCAGATGTGCGCGGTGGAGACCAAACTCAAGCCTGAGTCGCCATATTTTAGAAATGGCCACAATTTGCCTGCGCGGTGGAGATGCTCTAAGGAGTTAGATTCGGGCTCATGGGACTGCCAATGGAGTAGCCTACGGGTACACAACGGGATAGTGTAGGAAGTGCGGTGAACTTTGACACAAAACTTTTCAGGACGCTAGTACAGTACACAATCACCTTTTTGCACAATTTTTGTGGAAAAGGGTGCATATGCATTTTATGATTTCAGGAGCAGCCCATTATTTGTGCACAAAAAAGAAAAATATAACTCTGACACAAAAAATAATTTCCGGAGGCCCCCATTAATGCGGTCTCCATTAATTACGGTGATTGGGTGTACTCCCCGGGAGGAGTCTTCACCCGCATACACAAACTGTGTACACGGACGCGAAGTTGAGAAGAACCTCACGTAGCATTCCGCTGGCCCAAAGCACTTCGTGCATCTTTCCACAGGCACTCGATTTCAGCAAAGGAATGCACGGGGACTGAAGCCTCACCATGGCAATCAACGTAAGAAGAAAGAGAGGTGGACGCATTACATTCTGGGAGTGAGCGCGCTGCATTGGCCTCAACTTAAAGAAGCTGTTGCGCGGACCAGGGGCAAGCATTTCGTCGCAAGGCATACTCTCAGTGGAGAAAACGGTGAGCACCACCTCCTCACTTGTGTCTGCGACAACATGATGTCAAAGAGGGAAAGAGCAGATTCCAAAGAAGAGGCTCAATCCAGCGACCGTCTTCGCTACCAGAAGCAAAGTATCTTGAGTGTGTGCTACCTCGGCTGCGAGGATCCTCCCGGCCGTCCATCGTTTAGCGAGCTTAAAGCGCGTCTTCGTCGTGCCTACGACACTGAAGAAGCAGCCGAGTTACTATCATTTGTTGAAGCCCGGGAGGGCGACACGGCGGCATTCTGGTCTGAGCTGGACTCTGTGGACATGGACCGGACCGCAGCCCTTCCGCTGGACGCGGACGTCTCGACGCACATCCGGCTGCTAGCGAGACTAGAGACGGAGCGACACATGGCCTCGCGGATGCTGCTGCGCGAGAAGAAGCAGTTGCAAGGGAAGAAAAGAGGTCAGGGGCCGGCAGAGGTGTTCGATGCAAATGGAAGCGCGGAAAAGGCGCTCGAGCTGGTGGAAGCGCTGCCTCAGGGGAGCCGCGGCACTCAGGCGACACATGAAGGGCTCTTCAAGCTGGGGCGCGAGGTGGCGGGCCGTGACGCGCCTCCGGAGCGGCAGGTCGAGTTTGGTAGGTGGAATGCGTGCGCGGCGGGAGAAGGTTACTTTTTTAGGTTATGCGCGACTAACGGTGTGTGTGTGTGTGTGTGTGTGTGTGTAAGTAGGGCTTTTGTTGGAGGAGTATACGTTGGAGTTATTGCAAGAATACAGGAAGGAGGCCGGATTGAAGTCAGAAAATACAATGCCGCCCCTGATGGACGCGGCAGGGGCAGCGTCGTACGCGGACGTGTCCCAGCGGGAGGCGCAGATCGCGACAAGGCTGCTGGAGTCGCTCGGGGTGCTGCAGGGAGCGGGATACTTTCAGCGCGAGCCTCGACCGCGGCGAGCAGTGAAGCGAAGAAAACAGGAGGATGAGAAGTCCTCGGATGAGTACAGCGTGTAGCGGATCACAGGAGACGATGGAATAGGCCTGCGTTGAGCATGGCGATGATGAGGCCGTGGCCGCACCCCCAGAGGACGGCGTGGAAGCGTGGCATGTCGTATGGTAAGGTGGAGTAGAGGCCTGCGATGATGAGGGCGGGGGTGGCGCCGAGGGCGGCGGCGGTGGCGAGGCCTACAATTGCCGAGGCCAAGGTGAGAAGGACTGCGCGCGGAAACGTGCCGGCGTGCAGGACGGAGGCGAAGATACCTAGGGTGGCGTAGACTCCTGTGGTGACGAAGGCGGTGTACAGAAGGATAGCGCGCCACATGGACACGACGGTGGTGAGATACATGGAGCGTGTAGAGGGAGAGAGGAGGGAAGGGGATGGGGGAGAGGAAGAGGCAGTGAAGTGGGAGCGGATGGCCGGGTGGCCTCTTATTCTCCGTCCACAGGGGCAACGTGTAACGGGCGAATATGAGCACCTGATACGTGTGGACGTGTACGCGTGTACTGCGAGAAGTAATGAATAAACAGGAAGTCTTACACATGGAGTAATGGGTGGGGCGGGTAGTCGGCGTTTGTCTTGGCGCGTTTGTGCCATTTCGTTTCGCCTCGGACGTGTTTCCAACTTGCTTCTGTCTTGCTCCTCAGCGCAGACTTTACTCTCCCCCTTCCCCACCTTCCCCCTCCATGCTCCCCCGCGCTCACAGCGCGTGATGCACCGCCCCGTCTCCACCTCCCCTCCGACTCACCACAAGGCTCCGTATGGACCGCTCAGTCACCTCTCCGCTCTCCCATCTCGGGCTTCCTCAGCCCCCAAAATTCCCTTCCAACCCAAAGAAGAGGCCCCGCCCTCCTCTCCCCTTCGACCAAGACGATGAGGAAGACGGAAGGAAAGACTCCCCCAATGCCGTCGCGCACCCACCCCGCCCGCAACATGCCCTTTCCAACCCCCAATTTACAAATTCTCAGATCAACCATCTCCAGCGCGAGAGATTGCGCCGCCTCATGGCACGTCGCGCTGCTCCCCCCCGACGAGCCTGCTCGAGTCTCGCGTCAAATATACCATCTCAGACACCATCTCCTGTCCTGTCCGCCAAGCCGGTCGCCAAGCCGGTCGCCAAGCCGCATCCAGATCAAGCTCGTGGCAACGGCAGAGTCCACCCGCCCGCCGCCCCGCAATCATCCCCGTCTGCTAGCCTATGGAACCGCCTGGGCCACGCGCAAGCCGCGCTCAATGCCCAGCCCAGAACAGACCCGCGCTTTGTGTCGGCGCGCAGACCACTGGATTGCATATCTGGCTTGCGCGTTTCAATCGCCCTCACGCTTTTCGCGGATGGATACGCGCGCCATGATGCTAACAACGGCGTCCCGAACAGAGTTGCGGCGAATGCTGTTATGGCGAACGGCGAGGCGAGCCCCGGGCATGATAATGCTACCCTTAACAAGGCGGGCGCTACGCCACCAAGTAAGCTCATAAATGCCACAGTCAGTGCGAAAAATGTCAACATCGCGACTCTTCCACGATATCCGTACGACCGAGCGAGCCGAGACTTTTTGAGGGCCCTGGACCTCGGTGTCATACCCCCACCTGAAGACTTGCCTGAACCGTCCCAGTGCCATTACTACGACGGCTGTCTCATCGCCGAAGTTACCGATCTGCGCGACATACGTCCCGGTGCTGTGGTCAAGTATCGCCCGGAGGCGCGGAAGAAGATTTTGCTACGCCCTGACATGAGCTCCGTGTACAGCGATGTGGCAAGCATGACGCGCCATGTCGATTCGACCGTCGCCATGTTGGTCGAGCAGAAGATCATTGCCGCAATTGCGGGGCCTGTGGATTGCGATCCCACGCCCAAGCTTGCCTGCTCGTTGCAACAGGGAAATGTACATATTAATACGACAGCAATTAACATCGCGAGAAGACCAAAGCGAAGACGCGTGCACAGACCTCCGGGAGGGCCTGCGCTTCCCAGCTTATCGACGCCCGCGCTGTTGCTCATTGGCGCGGCAGAGAAGCACCAAACTTCGTTGCTAAACGCATTGATGGGAGCCAGCGTTGCGGAGGACTCCTCGTCGCATTCGACCGCCGTGACGATGAATACAGCATCCTTGTCAGCAGCAATTAACAGTGGAAAGGTATCCGGTGATGGCTCTGTCAATAGCGATGTGCGAACCGCGACGGGAAAGAATGGCGCAGCTACGATGAGCAAGCCTGCTGCTGTGCAAAAACGTCGTTTGTTGAAACCTCCGAAGAGTCTGCTTCAATTGCACCGAGAAAAAAACGAGACCAATGTACGCAGCCTTGCGAACCGGTCCGGTCAGCCTAATATTCCACCACGACAAGAGCATCTTCGAGTAGTTCGGCTCGTGCTGCCAGATCAGAATGGGAAGGTGACTCTCCAGCGCTTATCGAATGCGGAAGCTACTATGCCACGAGAGAACGCCGAGAGGATCCAGATTGCCAAACAGCAAGCGCTGACAGCTATCGCAAAGAACGGGGGGCAGATGTATGTTCTCGAATTTATCAAGTATCCATCAAGAGGTTTTGAAATTATGATCTCTCGCTTCGTTTACGGTGACAGAAATCGGGACGCGTTTCGGGTGCGAGTGGGAAGCGAGGAGGAAGGGCATCAGTTTTTGAATCAGTTTAAAGTTTTGGCAGGCAAGGAAGGGTTCCATGTCATGCAGGACTTGAAGTGGTCACAGCATTTGCGGCAGAAGCAACAACAGCATCAACAGCAGCAACAGCAGCAACAGCAGCATGCCAGGGCTCTACAGCAGCGGCAGAACGCCATCACTGCAGGAAGGCAGCCTGCAGTATCGCAAACGCAATCGAATGCACAGAATGCGGCGCTACAGTCAAAGAGGGCACAGGCACGGGCCCTATCCCAATCAAATCCCCCCGCAAACGCGCGACAGATACTTTTACAGAAACAGAAGCAGCCAGATGTGCGGGAGCAGCACCGCCTACAGCGGGAACGACAAAAAGCAGCTCAGTCTGGCCACCAAAACTTAGCCGCACTTCGTCAAGGTGCGACGCATACGCATATGCCCCTTCAGGGGCAGCCGATGGGCGCGCAGAGTCAGCTATCACAGCAGCACCAACGTTCGCACATGGCGCTGCAGCAGCAACAACAACAGCTATTCCAACAACACGTTCAACTCCAACGCCAGGAACCGCAGAGAGCACGAAGAAGGCAAACCCAGCTTCCCGGGCGAGACAACATGAATATAAGCATGGCCCAACCTGTTGCTCTGTCGGCTTCGAATGCGCGTGGGGGACTTGTATCCCAGGGGCCGGGGGCCATACAGGGAAACCTAGGCTTGCCTCAAGCCGGTGGACCGAGTTCGTCCATTGCGGGCATGGGTAGCGCTGGCTTGATGGGACATCAGGTTCTTACGCAGTCGCAAATGAGGCAATTTCAGCAGAATCTTCGGAACCAGAATCTTCGGAACCAGCAGCCGCTCCTCGCGGAACACCAGCGAAATCTCATGGCGGCTGCTGGGGGAAGAGATGCTGTGACTGGTATGGCAGGAAACACAGGAATCGCCGCAAATGCTGCCATGGCGCAGCACTTGCCAACTCACGTTCTAGCCAATTTCATGAGTGCCGGCATGGCTTCTGGTGCGGCTAGACCTGGGGCAGCACCAAATCTTACAGCTGCGGAAACGCTCACGCGGCAGCGGCAGCGGATGCAACAACAGCAGCATCTTAAGCAGCAAAGGGAAAATGTTGAGCCCCATGCTAGAAGTGCCAAGCGGTAAAGGACGCCCCATTTTGTATAATTGTCGTCGACGAGTGTGTCTATTAAGTTTTTTTATAATCATGCGGATAAACGCATCGCAGCAGTGTTTACCTCCTCGGCGATCCCAAAATTCCCCAGTGCTTGACCGGTTCGCAACAGGCTGTGTTCATATCCTCGCGCTTTAATGATGCGAGAAAGCAGAAAGTTACTGTCACATTGTCGGTCGGCGATGTGCCCATTTTCGACGTGTCGGAGTTTCTGAGTGATTCAGTAGTAAGGGACCCTGCGAGCTTGCTCGCCTTTGCAGTATACGTAAAGCAAGGTCCGTACCTTCGCGGGAACGAGTTTCGCACATGACAGAGCGGTTGTGCATTATACACGTCCGTTGGATGCTCGTTTTGCACGTAGACGTTCGCACGCAGATAGGAGAATCTGCTATCTGCAGAAGGTCCACGGGAGAAAGTTTGTCGCTAGCTATCAGGAATGCGTGTGAATGCTTCACCTGTTCAAAAGATCTCCCACGTTAGTCGAGGTTCTCAACATCTAATCATCCTACGGCACTAACAGAATAATACCGTCTTTCATCGACGTTCAGGTCGAGTGTATTGTATGTGAAACGCTTCTTGCGTCCCCAATGCCATAAAGAACGTTGTACGTATGCTACTCAAAAGACAGCTGCGTTTCAGTGCTCCTAAGGCAGCTTGTAAAGTTTATCTTCACTCTGCCCTGCATTCGTCCGGGACAGCAAGGCCATGTTTTGAAACCAGCCCAGAACTTTGAAACCCAAGGCTCCAGATCTCAAGCCTTGGCACCGATCAGCATCGCGTCACGCACTCTCCGGAGATGACGACTACGCTAGAATCAAAACCCTCACGTGTCTACCCAGGTGTTTGTCAACCCCCGATCCAAAAACGGCTCAACGCGTCTATCAAACAGCCCGAAAATCCCACCCGTGTGCACGAACAAAACCTTGGCGTTATTTTCAATCCCTACTCCCACATCACCCGCCATCCCGTATATCCCCTTCAGCGTGTACACCGGATCCAGTAGCACGCCTGTCTCCTTGGCGACTTGCATGCCCATCCTCAATTCCTCCTCCGTGTTCTTCGCATATCCCCTTCCCTTCGCCTCGACAACCCTTAAAATCTCCCTGGCACTCGTCTCCCCGGCCAACCCAACACAACCAAGCATCTGATCCAAGTGGTCGTAGAAATAGTTGGCGTCATCACAAACCGATACTGCCATCACATTCACCTTGCCGCCAGAAAGATAATTTCCTATTGCCAGGCCGCTCGCGGTTCCTCCTGATCCCACGGGCACGACCACGTCCGTGAAGTAGTCCAGCACGCCTTGCTCTACCATTTCCGCAAAGCACTCGATGTATCCCCACAGGCCAATCTCATTCGATCCGCCTATGCCAATGATATAAGGCCTCTCCCCCTTTTCCTCCAATCTTTCCTTGAGCTTTTTCATGCGCGGAAGCAAGCCAGTCTCGAACGGCATGGGCCTGACGAGGTGAATATTGACACCAAGCAGGTGATGTATGAGCATGTTGCCATCCGGCGGTAGCTCGGTTGGCCTCTCTGGGTGCTTGGTCCGCAAAAAGACGTGCACGTCCAATCCGAGCCTCTTCGCGGCAGCGGCTGTGGCGCGAGCGTGGTTGCTCTGCACCCCCCCGGCTGTGATGATGGAGGTGGCGCCCTTCTGCATTGCATCGGCGAGCAGGAATTCGAGCTTGCGGATCTTATTTCCGGACGTCGGGCCGCCCGTCTGATCGTCTCGCTTGATGTGAACGGAGAGTGACTCCGGGAGTGAGGGGATGGCTTGTCGGAGGGGGAAGGGCTCGATGGGGGTCGGGGTCATGGCGAGGTGCAGGCGGTGCGTGGGGGCCGCGGCGGAGAGGCGTGCGGCGAAGGGGGGCGGGGTGTAAGCGGATGGCTTGGTAGACATGGACATGGTGAAGAGGAAGGCGGGGGGGCGGCGAGACATTGGAGGGGGGGGGGAGGAACTTCGGGTGGAGTTACGAATACGTGAAA